GGGGGTTGGGGGGGCGAGTGGGGGCCCTATAGGAGATCTGTGGGGCAGGGGGGACTTGGGGGGTTTTGTGGGGGCCTTATAGGGATTCTGGGGGGATCTATGGGGTCTTATGGGGGCTGTGGGTGGCTTGGGGCCCTATAGGGGCTCTATGGGGCCGGCTGGGGATTTTGGGGGGTGACTGAGGGCCCTATAGGGGCTCTATGGGGCCGGCTGGTGGGACTTGGAGTGGTTTTATGGGGGCTGGGGGGCTGTATTGGGTCTTATGGGAATTGTGGGTGGGTGCCCAAAATCCTGATTTTTCACCCCAAGATGCAGCGCTGGGCTCTGCTCTCTCTTTGTATGCGTTCTGCCATCCCCAATTTGCCCAAAAGTGCTGTTTTTCACCCCAAGATGTGGCGCTGAGCACTGCTCTCTCTCTCTGTATTCTCCCATCCCCAATTTGCCCAAAACCCCCATTTTTCACCCCAAGATGCAGCACTGGGTGCTGCTCTCTCTTTCTGTGTCCCCCCACTCCATTTTTCCCCCAAATCCTGATTTTTCACCCCAAGATGCAGCGCTGGGCACTCCTCTCTCTTTGTGTGTGTTCTCCCATCCCCAATTTGCCCAAAAGTGCTGTTTTTCACCCCAAGATGTGGCGCTGGGCGCTGCTGGCCCTGGCTTTGGCTGCTGACCCCCTCCCAGACTGGCGCCGTCGGGTGCAGATCGGGGTTCGGCGCCGCCCGGAGGAGTGCGGGGTGCGGTCCAGGAGGGGGGACCTCCTGCATATGCATTACACGGTACTGGGACGGACTGGGAGGGACTGGGATGGGATTGGGGGGCACTGGGAGGGACTGGGATGGGATATGAGAGCACTGGGATGGACTGGGAGAGACTGGGATGGGATTGAGAGGGACTGGGATGGGATATGGGGGCACTGGGAGGCACTGGGATGGGAATGGGAGGGACTGGGATGGGAATGGGAGGCACTGGGATGGGATTGGGGGGCACTGGGATGGACTGGGAGAGACTGGGATGGGATTGAGAGGGACTGGGATAGGATATGGGGGCACTGGGAGGGACTGGGATGGGGATTGAGAGGAACTGGGAGACACTGAGATGGGAATGGGGGATACTGGAAGCAACTGGGAGGAACTGGGATGGGAATGGGAGGCACTGGGAGGGATTGGGATGGGATTAAGAGGGACTGGGATGGGGATGGGGGGCGCTGGGAGGAACTGGGAGCAACTGGGATGGGATGTGAGAGCACTGGGAGGGACTGGGATGGGGGGCACTGGGAGGGACTGGGATAGGATATGGGGGCACTGGGATGGGAATGGGAGGGACTGGGATGGGATTGGTGGGCACTGGGATGGACTGGGAGAGACTGGGATGGGATATGGGGGCACTGGGATGGGATATGGGGGCACTGGGATGGGAATGGGAGGGACTGGGATGGGATTGGGGGGCACTGGGAGGGACTGGGAGAGACTGGGATG